GAGGAGATTATGTGCAATTTTTCTTTGAAAAACACCAAATGGTGTGTTCGGCAGACGAGTAAATTATTCGTTGAATGAATCACTGTTATATTGGTGATGACACCTAACCTTGAATATGTTTACATTCTTTCTCTCGTTACCTTTAATTATATTTTTTGTAATTTGGCTTTTGTAGGAGCAGCAGAAATTGATGATATTTTGATTGACGTATAACTTAGTGTCTGTATGTGCAGTTTCAATTTAAAAGTAATTAGAGCGATGTGGGGAAATGAAGGAAATCACATATTTGTTTGTTATATCGTTTTATATACGCTATTGAAATTGATGAAAATTTGGCTGGCGTATAGTCTCACTTGCATATACACAATTTTGTAGATGGGGTAGTTTATTTGAAAAAAAAATATTGAAAACTTAGAAATAAAGACAAAAATATGAAGGAATAGACAATGGAACATTCGGAAACCCTTAATATAGTGGTAGTTCGAAAAAAAGATAAGTCATATGATAAGCTACTACAAGGATAGTTTCTGTCAGCTTAACATAATTAGTATCTTAACTGTTCTATTCAGATATTTTGCTTGCGACTAGAAGGGATAGTATGGAGTCATCTATAAAAAAAATATTCACCCCAGAGACCAGTATTGGACGAGTCCAAGCAGGATGAAGCTATGATAGGATGATGTGAGGTGAGATTATGTTTAATACCCAAAATTTTCTGTATGTGAAAATTTATAGAAAAAGTAACCATATAGAGAATTGATATGATACGAAAATCAGAAACAAACTTTTTGACAGACGTGTTCGATAGAATCCAAGTGGAAGAAACTGATTACTAATTTCCATGAAATTTTTTAACTGACATTGAACCCTAGCGATTCATCATGGTTTCTTGAAACCTTCAATACTTTGACATTCTGTAAATATTACTTTGTATTTTTAATTAGAGCATGTTTATTACAATTAATGAGGGAACATTTCCATGTGATATTCGCTGTTTGAGCTCATATCGAGTCCAATAATAGACGTCAGCAAAATTAGTGAAAGCCTACAATGGTTTCTGCCCATAAACCTTTGAAACCGATTCATGGCTTTTTTACTGAATTCTTAATTACTTTTCGATTTTAAGCAAAAAGAATCAAGCAAACGAGTTTTGATCTGACATTTTACACTTCTTTAGTACATTCTGAAAATTTCATCTGAAAAGAATATTTCTTTGTCGACTTATTCGATTATTAAAAAACCATCGTTTATCACAGACAAGGTGCAAGAAGCCAATTTACTTGAGTATCTCGACTAGAAGAATATTCTTTTCAGCTGAAATTTTTAGGATATTCTAAAGATGATAAGACCTATAAATTCAGTTTTTCCAGTAAAAGTAGCATTTTTTCTCAATGACTCTCTTCGAAACTAGTATCATTTGATAGAAAATAAAAGTCTGCATCTAATACAACCACTTAGAGAGTCAAATGAGGTAAGGAGGTGAATTCGGTGCTAATTTTACTTACGTTCCATTTAAAACGAATGTGCTAGTAAAACCTTTCACTTTAATTAATTAGATCTCATGTAGTGTTCAAAATAATATTACATAGATTTAATGCTTAACTTTTTGTTATTCTCATTCTTTTCATCGTTGAAAACATTTCCATTTTCATAGATAAAATACTCAGTATGTTAATGTAGAATATTTTGAGTTTGATTGTCTCCGTATTTGAATTAATTCATTTTCTAAATTCAAATAAAATACATTAGATCTTAAGGTGATGATGACAAAATAAATTCATTAATTTAACGTTAAAATATCGTTTATAAATTATCTTTTCAAGTATTTTTTTTTTGTTACAGACACACTTCTCATTTCTATCTTAACTTTTAATGTACTTTATTGTACTTTACCAGATGAATTAATGCAAAAAGAAAGGAAATTTTTAGTTAGTAAACATCTTAATAAATACAATTTGTTTTGCTAAGTAACGATCAACTAAAATGAGCCGATTGTTGTACAATTACAACTAAATTGTTCGTCATTCTACAAAGTAGATTTTTAATATGTATTTAAAAGAGTATCATTCAAAATTATAAAACCCAAATTTTTAACTTATCGAGATTTTGTTCAGAAACGATAGGATATATCGACTTTTTAGTATTACTAATATACTCTCTATAAAATCGAGTTACAAAAGCAATTTAAAAGATGCTATATCATCTATTCATTCAGCTAAGATGAATAGAAAACCACTCAAGCTACTCTTTTATAACACTCAACTCTCAGCTGTATATATATGCTTATAGTTTTTTAAAATTAAAAGCATCCAATCTACACTTTCAATGCATTACGTCAATTTTGATTTCTATTTCCAATATTTTTTCTACTGTTTAGTTGAGAATCAAAATTGGCGTAGTACTTAAGAACTGATGGTTAAAATGTAATTTTTCAGCTTCAAAGACAGGCTTCATTCGATTGTAATATTTCTTAATCGATTTTGAACAGTCAGTATTATTCAATAGTATTTTATTATTTGATCAAACATCGAGCAAAAAGTATAAAGCTGAAAAATTCGGCATTCATTATATTTTTGATCGCATTGTCTTAGTCGATTTTTTTTGTTGCTCGAATTTTCTACATTGGTCATGTCTTTAGATAATATTTAAAAATAAAGTATTTATTCAGTTTGATGACACATCAATCGTACACAAAGTCAAATGAACTTTTTGCTGCATTAAGTACTTTCTCATGTGATTAGAACCGGAAAAAAACCGACGGTATACCGCCGGTTGACCGAACGGTATAATATGCGCTCTACCGCCGGTAGTTGCAAAAAACACCGGCGGTATACCGGCAATATACCGGCGGTAATTTCATCTTTTACCGATAAAATCAAGGTGCGAATCTAGTAATCTGCTCTCTTATGAATCTGAGAATGAATTTATATTATCGCATACAAAAAATTAATTTTATTAAACTTTATCATTAGAAAATTATTTTTTTTTGTTTTAATTCCGGTATTAAATTTTGGTCGTAAGTGAAATATAGCTCTTACTAAAGTGTCTCTTCTCAGAAACAGCTACATTTCACTCACGACCAAAATATAATACTGAAATTAAAACAAAAAAATAATTTTCCAATGATAAAGTTTAATAAAATTAATTTTTTGTATACGATAATATAAATTCATTCTCAGATTCATAAGACAATGAATCGCATATTTGATGATAAACAGTTCTATTTATTGCTACATTTTCCCGACTAAATAATTCTCAAAAGAATCTAAACAAAAAATAAAATAGTTCTTAATAAATAAATACTTTCTTTTGAAGTTTTGAAAGTTGCTCTAAATAAAAGTAGAAAAATAATAAAATAATAATATTTGGCATGAATACATACTTTTCATTTTGGTACTGAGATCGTCGTAAATAAAACAATAATATAGTAATAATAATTCATATAATAAACACTTACTGTTTATTGCAATGTTCACAATCATCTAAATTAAAAAGAACGTTATCATATATATATATACATATAGAGAGAAAAAGAGATAGTTTTACCGTCGATATACCGTGGTACTCAAGAAAACCGTCGGTATACCGCGGTACTCGAAGCAACCGACGGTATACCAGCGGTATACCGTCGCTTTTCTCGACTACCGTGGTATACCGGCGTTAGTTCAAGTAAATATGCGACATGGGTTGACCTATATCTTACACTATCTTTTTCTGAGCATTAAAAATGTCCAATCTTATTGAATTCATCATCATTATTGTGATTGTGATAGTACACTTTTCACAATATTCGAATAAATTACTCTGATATTCTCATACTTGAAATGCGAGCTAAAAACAAGATATAAGATGGTCATTACATTCGCAATATGAACATGATTGTCTAATAATTGGCTTAATAATTGAAATGACAAAATATTACGACAGTGTTTTGTAGTTTATAATGCAGTAAATTTTCAACGATAAAACAAAAATATAGAAAAAAAACTATAGCTAAATAGCATAAACTATAGTCCGTCCAAAAAATCCATGCGTGTGACTGTTTTTTGAATAACTCGAGAAAGCAAACAGCTAGAGATCTGCAGTTTTCACCGATCGAAAGAGGAGAAGCTAGGACGTCCTTTTCTCTGATAATATTTCAGACGAAATTCTTTTAAAACTGATCATCTTTGAAAAAAAAATATAGAAAAGAATGCATGAAAATACACATGAAGTTTCGATTATGACCTTTGATTTAGATAGAAGAACTTCAGATCTATAGTTTAAGGTGCAACGCAAATGGCTCTCGAATTGCATTCTAATGTTAACCAAATGAAATCATGTATTTAGATGCGCAAACAATAGAGAATTTTGCTGATTTTTTATTAGGTTTTTGCATTTTTTTGTCAAAACAGCTGGATACTTCGATGAAAATGTAATGAAACGTAAGAAAGTTTATTATATTGTGAACTATAGATCTGAAGTCCCTTAATCTAAATCAAAGATCATAATCGAAACTTCATGTTTATTTTCATGCATTCTTTTCTATATTTTTCAAAGATGATCAGTTTTAAAAGAATTTCGTCTGAAATATTATCAGAGAAAAGGACGTCCTAGCTTCTCCTCTTTCGATCGGTGAAAACTGCAGGTCTCTAGCTTTTTACTTTCTTGAGTTATTCAAAAAACAGTCACACGCATGGATTTTTGGGCGAACTATAATAAGAATGTCTGAATATTTTTATGTTCACCAAGACACTATCTACTGGTGGCTTAACAATGCTTTTAAAAACATATGAATTGTTATGACATTTAATATTTTAGATTAAAATTACTAGATAAATTAATTGATCTAGTCTTTTTAAAATTTTCTTATTCTATAAAGAAATTTCAGCTTCTCTACATTCAAAAATACATAATCAATAAAACAAGAAAGGTAATTTATAAAAAACAACACTGTTCTACAACTCATGACTATGTTTTATAAACTATCTTTTATTAAATACTGTCATTTTATTAAATAGATGAACGGAAATTCTATGAATGATGGTTGTATCTCGGTCAAAAAACCAATTGCTGAGCAATATCCTCACGTTGATAATGAACAAAATGAAAACTCGATACAAAATCAATCTGCATTAGCACGTTTTGTTCAAATTACTAACAAAATGAAGAATACACCAACGACTCCAACGCAATTGTATATTTCTTTCTTTTCGTCTCAATCATGATATCTATAGAATGTGTTTTTTATTAGAGAATATTCATGGTGGTCAACACATTCGATTGCAATAGCTGTGGGTGCATTTGCTCTCTTCATAGTATTAACAATGATTATAGGCATATTGATAGTTAGTCTAACCTCTCCAAAACCAAAAGGTATTTTCGTATTTTCCTTCATATGTAAACTAAATAATATGAATAAAATAAATTCAAATTACATTTTCGAGTGAACAGCTAATACATGTTTAGTAGTATTTTGATACCAAAAAATATGTTCATGATGCAGTATCTAAATATTTCATAAGACTTTTGTATCTATTCTTAGCAATAGTAACATAAAATAATAAATGGTATTAATATATTTCTTTGAACGAGAAGAATAGAAATCAATAATTTGAAATTTGTCAATCGAAAATTATCGATAATTCTACATTAGGTTGAAAACTTTTCTCATTATACTAAATTTATTGCTAAATATAATGTACAAAAGAAAATACGTTATTGAAAAGAGAAATTCAGCTGAAACAAGTAATTTACGATACTAAAATCATTTCTTTTGTGTTTTTGAAACAAATTTTAGAATACAGAATGTTTGTAAAGTAACTTTCTTTTTTTCAGTTGTTTTTTATTCTTGAATAAGAATAGATAATGCATGATTTTTGTTAATGTTTTGAAGTCCAGTAGATGAGATTTTGTTTTAGATGAAAACGAATTTTAATGGATTAACTGTGTAAGATAAAATACATAAATCTCATGTAAAGAATGCTTACAACATAACTTCTTATTTTTCATGGTTCTGAAATGCGATAGTTTCTTAACTATTTTTCAGACATTATCTCGTAGCTCTATTACATACACCTCAAAACAGAAAAAAATTCTTCCACTATGTGCTTTTGTGTAGAAGGAATAAATGATGAAAAATAAGAAGTTATGTTTCAAGCATTTTCTACATGAGATTTATGTGTTTTATCTTATACAGTTAATCAATCATCATACCTTTTTATCTAGGACGACATCTCATCGATTTTCCTTCAAAATAGTAACAAAAATAATACATTATCTGTTCTTATTCCGGTATAAAAAAGAAAATTACTTGAGAGACACGTTGTAGGTGGAAGAAAGTGAATGGATCAGTCATCTGGCTAATATATTCATTTAATTCTATTTAAATTCTCAAAAAATAGATGACATTCTACGAAAAAAAATATTGCCAGCGATCAGATCCAAATGTAATAAAATGCAAAAGCTTCCAGTAATCTATAATAAAAATTTGATATAATTCAATAAGAGTGATTACATCATAAAAACTTACCAGTTTTTGCATTATTTCTCTTGTTTGATTTAGTCCAAAATTGTCAATTGAATTTTACAAAAACAAGTGTAAATCCAATTGAATATAATTTTCGTCCTCGATCTGTCGCTGTTGGCAATTTCAACAATGATAAAGACAAGTGGTTAGATATTGTTGTTGCTAATCATGCTATGGATAGTATATCTGTATTTCTTGATTATAATAACGGTATTTTTGCAAGTCACATAATATATCCGACCGGTTCATACTCTGCTCCATACATGGCTGCACTTGGTGATTTCAACAATAATGATCAGATGGATATTGCTGTTGCTTATTTTGGCATTAATAGCATAGGTATATTCATCGGACTTGGAAATGGATCTTTTACCAATAAAACAATAATCTCAACTGGTTCATCTCATCCCATCTGGATACATGTAGCTGATCTCAATAGTGACACATGTATTGATATTGTTACTGCTAATTATGGAACCAATAGTATAAGCATTTTTTATGGATATGGTAGCGGAAGTTTTTCAAATTCAATTACTTATTCAACAGGATATGATTCTTCACCATTCTCAGTTATCACTGGAGATTTGAATAACGATAAACACTTAGATCTTATTATTGCTAATTATGGTACAAATAATGTTGGTATACTCCTTGCAAATGGCAATGGTGATTTTTTACCTCAAATGATATTATCGACTGGTGTCAATTCCCATCCATATTCGATCCTCGTTGAACATTTTAATGACGATCTTCTTTTAGATATTGCTGTCGCCAATTATGGATCTAACAATGTTGGTATACTTCTGAATAATGGTAACGGCAATTTTACAAGACAACCAACATATACACTTAATACTTCTTCTCCATATTCCATTGGTGTTGGTGATATCAACAAAGACAATAGACTTGATTTAGTCGTTTCTAATAAAGGCATCGATAACATTGGTGTATTATTAGGACTGGGCGATGGGACTTTTTCTAAACCAAGGATGTATCGGACTGGTTCTTCTTCTTCAACCTCAGTAGCTATAGCTGACTTCAATAAAGATAATTTACTAGACGTCATCATCGTCAGCAACGATACCAACAACATGGCTATTCTATTTGGTTATGATGAAGGCTTTCAACCGACAGAGAAGTATCCAACTGGCAGAAGTCCACAATCGATAGCTGTTGGTGATTTTAACAACGATTCTCGACTAGATATCGTAGTCGCTAATACTGATGACGGAAACATAAGTGTACTTCTCGGATATGGTAATGGTTCTTTTGCAAATCAAATAACATATGCAACTGATTACTGGCCATTATCTGTAGCTGTTTGTGATTTTAACAACGACACTCGACTGGATATCGTTGTTGCTAATAATGGTGCCAACAATATCAGTGTACTTCTCGGATATGGTAATGGTTCATTTACAAATCAAACCAAATATAAAACTGGCTCATCTCCATATTCTGTAGCTGTTGGTGATTTTAACAATGATGCTCGCCTGGATATCGTTGTTGTTAATTATGGTAACAGAAATATAAGTGTTCTTCTCGGATATGGTAACGGTTCTTTTGCAAATCAAATAACATACTCAACTGGCTCTGCACCAGAATCTGTTGCTATTGGTGATTTCAACAACGATGCTCGACTAGATATCGTTGTTGGTAATTATATTGACGGAAATATAAGTGTTCTTCTCGGACATGGCAATGGTTCTTTTGCAAGTCAAACAAGATATTCAACTGGCATACATCCTGTCTCTGTAGCTGTTGGTGATTTCAACAACGACCATCGATTGGACATGGTTGTTGCTAACTTGGATGGCAGAACTATAAGTGTACTTTTCGGATATGGCAACGGTTCATTTGCAGATCACATTGAGTATTTAACTGACCTTTGGCCATCTTCTGTAGCTGTTGGTGATTTCAACCATGATAATCGACTGGATATCGCCGTTTCTGACAGTTATAGCGAGCGTGTAGGTGTATTTTACGGATATGGCAAAGATTCTTTTCTAAAGCCAATTACGTATGACAGTGGCGTTTTTCTAAATGCCATAGCTATTGGTGATTTCAATAGTGACACTTGGCTAGATATTGTCACTGCTAATACGGCTGAAAATAAGGTCGGTGTATTACTTCATTATGCTCATGGATCTTTAGGAAACGAAATAACAATTGCATCTGGTGGTGGCGCTCGCCTACAATATATTGTTGTTCGTGATCTTAATAATGACACCGTACTAGATCTTGTCGTCGTTAATTATGGCACTAATAACATAGGTATCCTCTATGGATATGGTATTGATGGATCTTTTTCAGAGCAAAAGAGGTTTTCAACAGGTTTAAATTCAAATCCATATTCCATTGCCATTGGTGATTTCAATAAAGAAGGTCAACGCTATTTTGCTGTAACTAATTATGGAACAAAGAACATTGATATGCTCCTTGAAAATCGAAATGGTTCATTTACACGTCAAGAACCTTATTTGAATTTGAGTTTTGCTCCTTTGATGGTCGCTACTGGTGATTTCAATAATGATGGGCAATCCGAAATAGTTGTCACATATGAAAATGCTGATATTATAGATTTATTTGTCATATTTGATAGTGGCTATTTTACAAGCCAAAATAAATATCCAACTGCTGGTTCACCAACATCTGTAACTGTTGGTGATCTCAATAACGATACTCATATGGATATTGTTGTTGTTAATTTTGAGTTTCACACTGTAGGTGTACATCTTGGATATGGTAATGATTCTTTTTCAAATCCAACAACGTATTCAACTGGCTATTATCCACGCTCTGTAGCCATTGGTGATTTCAACAACGACGGTAAACTGGATATCGTCGTTGCTAATAATGCTGTCAATATTCTAGGTTATGTTAAAAGTATAAGTATACTTCTCGGATATGGTAATGGTTCCTTTGCAAATTCAATCAACTACTTCGCTGAGTCTTCTCCATATTCCGTAGCTGTTGGTGACTTCAATAATGATGCTCGACTGGATATCGTCGTTACCAACAATGATAACAACACTGTAAGTGTACTTCTCGGATATGGTAATGGTTATTTTGCAAATCAAACAACATATCCAACTGGTAGAAGCCCAAAATCGGTAGCTGTTGGTGATTTTAACAACGATTCTCGACTAGATATCGTAGTCGCTAATACTGGTGACAGAAATATAAGTGTACTTATCGGATATGGTAATGGTTCTTTTGCAAATCAAACAACATATGCAACTGATTACGGACCATCTTCTGTAGCTGTTGGTGATTTCAACAACGATGATCGATTGGACATCGTTGTTGCTAATGGTGGTCGCAGCACTATAAGTATACTTCTCGGATATGGCGACGGTTCATTTACAGATCAAACAACACATCCAACTGGCAGCGGCCCACGATCGGTAGCTGTTGGTGATTTCAACAACGACACTCGATTGGATATCGTTGTTGTTAATGCGTATGACAACACTATCAGTGTACTTCTCGGATATGGCAATGGTTCATTTACAGATCAAATTACGTATTCAACTGACCGTGAGCCATCATCTGTAGCTGTTGGTGATTTCAACAACGATAATCGACTGGACATTGTCGCTACCAATTCGTTCGACCTATCTATAAGCGTATTTCTTGGTTACATCAATAAGGCTTTCCGATACGAAAGGAAACTCATAACTGGTAATGGATTTCTTCTGCGATCACTCATCGTTAGTGACTTTAATAATGACACTCATGCAGATGTCGTTGTCACAAATTCAGGCACTAATACTATTAGTATTTTTCTTGGATTTGGTAATAATTCTTTTACAAATCAAACAACATTTCTAACTGGCTCTCGTCCATGGTCTTTAGCTGTTGGTGATTTAAACAATGATTTTCAATTAGATATTGTTGTTAGTAATGTTAATGATAGCAGTATCAGTGTGCTTCTAGGTTATGGTAATGGCTCTTTTGCAAATCAAAGAACATACTTAACTGGAAATAATTCTCAACCATATTCGGTTGCTATTGGTGATTTTAATAATGATAGCTTATTAGATGTCATTGTCGCTAATTATCTAGCTTCTAATATAGTTATATTCGCTGGATATGGTAATGGTACTTTCACAGATCGAAAAGAATATCCACTTAGTCGCGAATCTTTACCATTCCTTGTTGTTGTTGGCGATTTCAACAAAGATAACAAATTGGACTTTGCAGTCGCTAATAATGCTACTGACAATTTAAATATTTTCTTACAAATTTGTTAACTAATTTTTTTGACTTTAAAGTATATGTATCATTTAGATTTTTCTGTGTAAAAAAACATGATAACGTAAGAAACTTTGACTTTTCTCTTCTACACATGCTTGATCAGGAAGTCTTTTTGTGGAACTGTGGTGAGCGCCTGGCCTCGTAGCAGCCGTGTGAAAAAATATAGGAATATATAGGAATTTAGAGGTCAAGAATTTATAGGACCGCCCTGAACTATATAGGAAATACATAGGACGTGAAGTTTCCCCTACAAAATTTTTTTAGCGCGTAGAAAAACTGTAGCAATATCGTCGATTGTAATGAGATGAGTATTCTCCACTTGTTCGATAAGCTAAATAAAAACAAGTATCATCAAATAGCGGAAATTAATGACACAGAAATCTTTTTCAACAATAAAGGTAATAATGCCGGTTCGAGTAATTTTTAACCATTTCAGGTATAAATACAACAAAAGCGTAAAAAAAATAAATTAAAGTTTTCCACATCCTCAAATTCAATCCAAGGGGGGGAGGGAAGGTAGCTTTCGTCATCCACGCATTTCCTCCAACAGGGGAGGAGGGGGTAGCTTTCATCATCCACACATCTCCTGCAACGGGGGGTAGCTTTCCACATAGTTCTCTACCCCCTTCAACACTCAAAACGTTCGATTTTTCAAAAAATATATAAATATAGGAAAAATGATCAAAATATAGTCCATATAGGACTAATTTCAAAAAATATAGAAAATATAGTCCGACTACGAGACCACGTGAGCGCAGAGCTCATGTACGCATAGGACAGTCTCGTATCATTCACATTACACAGATATGTCAATGAGTGCAGTGAATAACCTCGGTCTCATACCATAGTAACCAAAATAGTTCCTAGCCGAGATTTTACAGTGTGCGGTGTGGGTATGGATTGGCATGAGGATAAAAAAGAAAAAATATCACATCCACATCCTAATTTGAAAAAGGAAACAAAATATTTCGTCAGTAAAATAGATGGATTGATCAATAAGTGAAATAAAATACAAAGTCAGTAAATTGATTAAAATTGTCAGTAAATAAAATTTCTTAACAGATTAATAACGCAAAGGGCAAATTTAGAAATTAGAATTCGTTATAATATGATTCATTTTTTTCCCTTTCGATAACTTTCTTTTTGAGTGTGGGTGTGGGTGTGCCTGTGCCTGTGGGTCTTCTGTTGAATCACACCCACACCCACACACCCACACCCACACCCACAGCCACACCCCCACCCACCCCACCCACACCCACACCCACATCCACACCCACACCCACACCCCAGCAGAAGGCAGATAAGGGTGTGGGTGTGGGTGTGGGG